TTTCAGTTTGCAATCATACCCTACCTTCATGCCGTCTCCCACAAGCTGAAAAAATTTGCGGGGCGCTTCAACGTTCCGGTTGTTCTCACGGCCCCTAGCAAACGTTCGTCGTTGTGCAAGCGAATTAATTACCTACACAGGGGCAGGGAAGAATGCACAAAAAACACAGAAATAAGTTTTTGGAATTTTCATCCTGGGTGTCGTTTACGACAATCCATTATCATGTGGGCGTTCCTGCGTAGGACAAACTGGCCGCTGCGTCAATGAACGTGCAAGAGAACATGCGTCAGCTGTCAAACAGACGCCGTCTGGGCATCTGGCAGTACATTGCGCTAGATGCCCGTGCACACCATTGGTTACTAACACAGCCATCCTGGGACGACACAGCGATGAAACCACAAGGGAAGTACACGCAGCAATCATTATGAAAACAAGGGGTGCTGATAAGTGCGTCAGCGAGCCGTCTGTGGCATTGTTAGATAAGGATATTCTATTTTTAGAGAGAGAGAGTGGGGTGGCGAAACATGAAGTGGTTTGTCATAGTATCCCTTCCCTGTTTTATAACTTGTTCGTTGTTCTGCTGCCGTCTGTCTTGCCACTGTAGGGGGCCGGAGACTCATCAAGCTGTTCCTTTGCAGCTTTTTTCTCCAGCCTCCCCTTCATCATTGATGAGAAATAAAAAAACGGTTATTATTTAAGTCTTTGTATTTTCCAATAAACCTTCAGTTGCGAGTGCGCCACGATGTTGTCCTTACCTACATCTTTTGTCCCCGTCTTTCGGCGCTTCCTTCCAGTCAAGTATGCTGAAAGAGTTTGGCCAGTGGGCGGAGCTTTGTTGCCTGCTAGAAACAGCAAATTTCGCGATAACACAAAATGGCGTTACTTCTTTGTCTTCTTTGTTCCTGAGAAATCGCATAGAGTTCCTATGAGTCAGAGCCCCGAAATCTCGGACGAAAGTAGTCGTCCCCCGGTGACAGACTACGCTGCCGCGGTTGACAGGCTGTCAAAATCTCCTTAGGAAGGCCAAGCCCTTTCAGTACAAACGACTCTGTACATTCCATTTCCCCAGAGGAAATTTCAAAATTGTACATGAAATTTTCTAAAAAAAATGAGGACTGCTTTGATAATGCGATTGAACATCTCTACGGGTAAAACTGAAAGAGAGGAGGAGACGAGAGCATGGGGGGACGTCAGCACTCAAGCTCTGGCTAAAATGCTCACTTGGTAGACGCCAAGCGTGCCTTTGTTTTTACTCACACTTCGAACGCGTTCGGCGTCCGTCGTCCGGCGTTCAGCGTTCGCTTTCAAACGCGTTCGGACAGGGAGTAGGTACAAAGGCAGCTAGCTTGGCGTCTACCCTCTAATCATTGCAGTCAGAGCTCGGTGCTCTGGCATTCCCGCGCGCTCTCATTTCCTTTTCTCTCTCAGTTTCTAGGGAGGCAGAGTACCCGCACATGTGTTATTTCAGAAATAGACCCTTATAAAATAGGTTTTGCTTCTGGTTTCACCCAAGATGCAAATCTTCCATCTACAATCGGACATTCAACATGGTTAGTCACTGCCCTGATAAGGGGGATCGGTGGCCGAGTGGTCTAGCGCACACCAGCTCGGAGCACGTTAAGCGAAAGCTCGCGCTGCAGAACCCAGGGATCCTGGGTTCGAGCCCCACCCCTGCCCGTTTCGATCGGTTGAGCATCGTACCGGCGTGCGGTCGTGTATAACTACTGCGTGATGCACGTTAAAGACCCTAGGCTAGCGGTTGTACCGCACTGGCTAAATTTCTCATCTACAGCTGGGAGACTCGTCGCCCCTGTGAGGCAGACCAAGTTCTAGGCTGTATAAACACACACACAACCCAATTTTTTTTTTCACTGCCCTGATAGACAGCTGCATTTCTTAGGGCCTTTGCTTTCGGTTTAGAAGCAGTGGAAGTTTTTCTATCGCGTGGGAGCGCGACAATGCCACCCCTACTAAAGCCCCTCTATCTGGGAAAAGTGGCGCCATTTATTGTTATGGAAATGCTAGACACAAGTGCCGCGCGCCACATCTGGAAAGAACATGGCGTCTGAAATCTAGCTCAGTGCAACGCTGTGCCGCCATGATTTTCCCAAGGGCTGCACGTTGCACGTGCCTCGTGCATCGACGCATCTTGCGCTACTTTTGAAACTTTGAAACTGGTTAAAGCCTACGAAGCAGTCTTAACCACTCCGAGTATACTGCAGCCTGAACCACCCTGAACAACTGTTCCGACTAGGATGCCTTGGTGTGCGCTCTGCTTAGGGTGGTGGCATCTCGCCAGTTTGTCCCACGCGTTTATTATTTTGTGTTCTTCAGAAGCGCGTGAAAGAGCGTGTCCCTGCACGTGTTTGTGGCGTTGACTGTGCTATGGCGACATTTCGTTTTCTTCCATTTCCTTGTATCTCCCCCGTGAGCGAGTGCTGTCGGCATCGGGTACTACACAGGGTGGCATCACCCTAAACAGAAGGACATTGAGGCACCCTAGTTCCAACCACTGTGACTCAAACTGTGTGCAGTGTACTCGTATAAAACAACTGTTGTGCGCTGATCAAAAATACTTCTAGCTTACGATACGAAAACGCTTGTTTATTATTATTTTATTTTTTTTTTTTTGCGAAGAGGTAGAAGTATTTTTCGTAAGTCCCCGTGGGCACGCGGCCTCAGGGCCTGTAGTTCTAACTAGTGTAAACATTCCTCCAATTGAACCCTTGAGTTAAGGGGCCGCCAACATGATGATATTAGAGTGTTTTTCTAGAAAGTGTTAAAACCACTGGTTTCTACTCTAAGGGGCTGGATGGCGCATAGCTGCCTCCGAGCCTGGTGGAAGTGAAGGCAGCGGAAGTTCGATGCTTGTCCCGGAAATCGGCCGTCTGCTTGGCTTCCTATAGACCTTTTCCACAAAGGCGTCGCCATCTTGAATTGTCGTCACTTCCAGTATGGGCGAAAACATTACTTTGCCGTCACCACACCAATAGAAGACATTTAGGATCTAAGCCTAACCGTCACACATTGTCGTTTTGGCTCCCCTCTATTTTTTTACTATTTACAGGTTGAAACGTTTTACTATTTTGTCGTCGCCCATACTGGAAGTGACGACAATGGACCTTTTCCATATACCGACGGCACCAGGCGGTGGCTGCGCGAACTAAAAAATCGAGGAAGTGACCTGCGCTACCAATCAATAATGGGAGCTACGTTACCAGTTGCTTCGCTCTCTGAGCAGCGTCGCGTGCCCAATGCAACGAGGTAGGCCTAGCGCGACTTTAAAGAAGGAAATCCGTAGCGTCCACCCAAACGTCGTGTTTTTCTTTCCGTCCACTTTCTTTTTTTGTGTAACACAATTATATATATGCTGCAATTACGTGTTCTACTCGTCGATTTACAGCCTCAGTCCGAATTTCCTCGATTTTTTCGTGCCGACTTCCACCGCTTGGCATCGGGCGCTCGCGCGTGCGCAGAACGCTTCTCGGAAAAGGTCCATTCAAGATGGCGGCGCTCCTGTGGAAAATGTCTATAGTGCATTCAGTCGGTGCTTTGGTCCATGCTTTTTTGTGTCTTCGAGTGGGTTTTAATATCCAGTTTTGAATTAAATTGAGAAAATAGGGCGTTTGAACGTTGGACAAATGCGCACTTCATCAGCTAGAATCTAAACATTTTCACATCAGATGGCTTCCGAGGAGAGTTTTCGGGTCTGCGTGCGTTTTTTCTGTGCAACAACCAGCTCTCTTGTGATGACAATAAAACATCCAGCCCCCTGAACGTTGTTTGAACGTGCAATCAGAAGAGTTGAACACCTGTCAAGCACTCACTTCCGCGGCAAGACAATTACTTCCGGTGGTTTCAATGCGCCTTTCAGCTCACTAGTGGATGTCAGTGGTTAAAGTGCTGTAGGAGGAGTTAGGAGGGGTTAAAGCCGCTTCATGTTTTAAAAGTAGCACAAGGGGCGTCCATGCGACAACAATGAATGGCGCCACTTTTCCCAGAATAGAGGGGCTTTAGTAGGGGTTAAAGCCCCTCTATCCTGGGAAAAGTCCATTCATTGTTGTGGAAATGCTCGAGACACGTGCCGCACGCTACTTCAGGGAAGAACATGGGGTCTGAAATCTAGCTCAGTGCGGCTCTGTGCCGCCATGATCTTCCCAAGGGCTGCACGTTGCACGTGCCTCGTGCGTCGACGCATTTTGCGCTACTTTTGAAACATGAAGGGGCTTAAGGAGGGGTAAGATTGCAACGACCCCACTAAGCCGCGGTGTCAGAGTGAAACTACCCCCTTTTTAAGAGCTGTAAGAAAGCGCGCCTTTTTATTCTAGCCTGGCCGTTGTTTAATAAACTCAAAATGAAATTATAAACAACAATGCTTACTTACAAGTGTACAGTGCAAATATGGGCAGGACAAAAACTTAGAAGCAATTATATTATGTTACATTAAGTACGAAAAAAAAAGCGCTTATGCATCCGACTCTTCATGAAAGATTCAGCACACGCTCTTTGAAGTGTCACGTTTCTGTGCGTATTCAGCAACTCCAGCTATTTAGCGCTTCTGACTTTGAATGTCGCTGACCTGCCAATCTTCGAGTAGAACCAGGTTTTAGATCTTCAATATTTAACGCAAAATTGAAAAAAAAAAGTTCGACTAGAAATACACTATTATGCGCATGTAAGGATATTAAAAACGAGCTAACGCCGCCTGGGGGAGGGATAGTGCAAAATTGATCGGGTGCTTACTATTGCCGTTAGACGTTTACTAAATCCTTATGAGTGTATATGCTGACTTTTATACTTAGCAAGAATTGGTCATTCTTTCTTACAGTTGTGAACAACGTACTGGATAAATAATTTCCCCAAATTTTAATATTTTTGTATGGAAGTAGGATAACACTTACCAAGAATTCAAACCTGGCCGAAATTTGTCAAAACGTCCAGGGTTCCCCGAACCACTCGAACCTCAAATTGAAAAATAGTTCTCCATACTTCTTACCCAGGGGCGTGCGCCGTGTCCCGGGAGAATCTATTGTGGATCCTGACGCAGCAGGGTACGGGCAACGCGGCCGTGGTCATCATCGGAGGCGCCCAGGAGGCCCTGGATGCCCGACCGGGGACCTGCCTGCTCACGCTCGAAAGGCGCAAGGGCTTCGTCAGGTTGGCCCTGCAGTGCGGGTACGCGCTCACAGAGTGACTAAATGGCCGAGCCAGCATGTCGCATTCCTTTTCCTTACGCCGCCGACCCCTCATTGGCGCAGAGGGGTCACATGCTTCCAATATACAAAAAACGCTTACAAGGAAACGGCCTTGGGGATCGCCGGGCTTTGGGGCGGGACATAATTTTTTTTTTTTCACTTCATGTTAGCGAAATGTAGATCTCGCGCTGAAGTCTGACGAGAGGGAAAGTTCTTGAACATTCCCACATTGTGTGTGCAGCTTAGATACGTTAAAAAACATCATTGCAGTGAATTTAGGGTACTATGATATACAGTATTTAAAGAGCCGTTTCTGAGAGTCAACAACCAATCGTTTAAATCGCCAGAATTAGACATTGCGTCAAACGCAAGGAAGGTTTCAATAGCTCTTGATGAGGCTGATGGGATGGGACTGGCTCGTGTTGGTTGCACCGTAAGAGGGCACCCAAGGAGGAGGAGGAGGGGCGGAGAGAGGGGGAGGGAGGGAAGGAAGGGGGGGGATGAGGAGAGAGGTGGAAGGACATGGGGAAGGAGGGAGGGCAGAAGCAACGAGGTAGAGGGGCTTAGAGTGATAAACCGGAAGTTCGGAAGTGGCACCCCCCCGGTTGCCGCCATATTTTACGCAAATGTGACCACTCGTCACGTGACCTCCCAAGAGCCGTGACGTCACAGGTAAGATGGCAGCGCCCAGAGCTGGCGGATGCGAGTTTGTTCGGTGCGCGGTAGCCGTGATGTGCAGCTGCTTTCCGACGACTTCGGGCTTCTTCGTGCTCGCTGACGCAGGTATAATGTGAAAATATGAAGGAATGAGACTTTATACCGTTTTTGCGCAAGATCGCTCTGGATCATCTGGATATTAACGTTTGTGAGACAGCATCAGCTGTGGATTGCCGTACCGGTGCTTGGATTCCGGGATGTGTCCGAAGATCGATAGAACTTTGAGTGCTTCTAACATGAAATTTTTGCATTCTCTTAGCTTTGTTTGAACGTTGAAATATCTGAGAATCTACGAAAAATGTATACGTCGCGTTAGGGCCTAAGGGAAGTTGTTTCAGCCCTCCGTCACCGTACAACCATAGCAACTTTTAGCGAGGAAGCTCCTGCGATTTTAACCTTTTGTGCTAATCCACGATTCTACATTCGATCGCTTTTCTTCCTTTTTTTTTGTGTGTGTGTGTGAGTGCGAAGTGCACCCTTATTTTCAGCTACGAGGTTGGCGTTGTATTGAGTATGGGGAAGAATAAATCGTTGCAGGCACCTGCTTCAAAGCTATTCGACTTGCTATAAGAACAACTGTTTTGGTGCATGCATAGATTAACTGCGCATTTTTTCTGTTTTGTAGGATTTATTGCAGCTATACTCTTTTCCATCAAGAGTGCATTGTATTAGTCGGTCAATTATTTAATTGTTCTAATTACCTGGATAACATGCTTCATATTTGTGTTCATCCCTTGCCTGGAGAGGAGTCTTGTTGAAAAATGTTGACTACCATTCCTTTCGGTCTCTTCAATAGACTCTTTTTAAAAGTGTGGGCTGTCTATACTTCGCATCACCATAACTTGGAAAAGGCCAACCGCCACAGCCCCCTCGAGCCAATCAGAGAGACGGAGCGAAGGTGTGAGACAAATCTGTGCAGACGAGCACTCTGGTGATATGCTGTCATGTGCCTCTCTCCAATGTGTGTATTGACTCACCGAGACCGTAGCCTTTGCCATCTGCCAAATTCTGATGAAACAAATTACAGTAGCTACTACTGTAATTACCCCAGGCTTTCATACTTTGGGTATTTGTTCGACAAGAATGTTATGTCTGCCATCCCTGTGAATTCGGCTCAGCACCTATTGGACTCGAATGCTGCATTGGCGTTCGACGTGAACTGGGGCCCATTCGTGTGCCTTGCACCGAAAAAAATGGTGACGGTTACATATAGGAAGTGTCATGCTATATAACATACATATAGGAAGTGTCATGCTATATAACAATGCATCAACACATACTATTAAACTATATGCTCAGAGGTGTGTTTGTTTTTCCAATTAACAAGTTACAGCAGTGTGCTTTAATGCTATTATCATGTGTGTAGTTTTAAGTATCCTCTCTGCAATGCTTACGAAGGCCCCTGGAAGGAATAAATTAATAAATAACATTTTCACATCACTGGAGTTGGTTTTCGGATGCACCACATGTTCAGGAAAGGTTGAACGAGTGCATCCCCTTGCAAGAAGTCTGCCAGTCTGGTATGACCCCTTAATTAATATTGAAGGGTCAGAGAAGCGAGTGTCCTCGTAAGGTCCAGAGCGTGCAATGGACACAATTCTCGGTGTGTAGACTCTCAAGGCATGAAGGCAAGCGGAAACATGTTTATCTGGTTAGTGTATCAAATATGTTTATTTCCACTTGATTACATAATTATTGATTCTTAGTAAATGGTTCCATAACGAGTTCTTTCTGCGACAGTCTCGTGTCAGGCGTTCAGTCGTAGTACCTGTGGACCTTGTTGTCGGATGACGCTCCTGGCACGTCGGTGTTCAGTTTGGTCGAGTGGCAACTTTGACCGACTGATGCTGTCTTGTAATCATACGTCATGTGCACTGAAGCTGCAGGGCTGGCTTCTAATCCGAAAATTTTCCTGGTAGTTTTCGGCATCAATGTAGCAAGCTCGGGCATGTATTGCTTACGTGGCTGTGCCTTTTGCTGTACCGTTGACTTGAAAGCTGGCAACAATTTTTGTTTGCTATCCAAGTCTGGTGATGCTTGCAGTTAACTTTTGAGAGCAACCAACCATTCTATTCCTTCAAGTCACTCAGGGGCATTCTCCCTCAAAGTTGGAAATTGTGTGCTTCGTGGAGTGGACACAGAAAATTGGTGTCAGCAAAATTTTAGGTATTGTCCTTGGACGACAACTGACACCAAATCCACTGTCACTGCATCGCCGCTCACCTGCTTTGTCGTGCTTACCTCTTGTTGAGGTGATGGACATGAGGAGCTTTGGGGTAATCAGGGATTCAGAATCTTCGATTCAGCACCTTCGGCATCAGGGACAAAGGTCGCCGAAGGTAATCCTTAATCTCCCGTGGTCGCTCCTTGAGACGTAATCGAGGGTCGTTTGGCACGAACCCTCGCCGACCAATTCATTGGTACGGGCTGCTTTGGTAGACATGGTCGGCTTCATACAGTGGTAGCAAAGTGGTTTTCGGTCGCACATTCGCATCACCTACGTTTTCCTCGGTGTACTTTGTTGAGCACAGTCCTACACACGATGTCGGGAATGCTTCGGCGTTAGAGTGTCTCATTGAATTGGCATTGAATACTAAGGGGCAGCCGGTGGCGGTCGTCGTGCCATTGTGGCGTAAGTTGCCCTTGGTTTGTCAGATGCCGCTTCGCTCGCAGAAGTCTCGGTTGAAATACCTGTCAAACTTGTTCCGAAACAATGTCGCCAATCAAAATAAAAGCCGGGCAACTGATGGCAGGAAGTAGCTTCCTGATCTCCTCCCAGACAACGTCGTGGGTGATGTCGTGGATGCCTGGGAGGCTGGCGTCGAAGTAGTAGCTGGACAACTCGAGTGTCGAAACGCCGGGAAGTTGTTCATAGTGGCAGGCTCGGGCATGCAGTGCACATTCCATGTTGGAAGCCTCAGTGATATGAACACTTCGACTGTTGTTGGGGGGTTGCGGACAAGGCTGCCGAAGGTGTTGTCCCTCACGTGAGGCGCATGGGATTCTTAGGTTCTTGTCTTCTGTAGCATCAAGGTCGGCGTGGGCGTGGGCGCTCGATCAAGCACAAAACATCCTCCACGAGTGCGGTGGCGCTCTCATTGGGGCAGTGTCCTGGACAGAATCAAGAATGCGGCTCTCTTTCGTTGATGTTGGCTGACGGATGCGCGCTTCAGCTTGATCTTGCAAACTTCCCATGACGTTAAGGAGGATCCATGGTTCTCAGACCAGCGCCGGCAGTTGCTTCCACGAGAAGTATAGGTTCTGCAGGAGCTGGTTGTCTGTCCACCCAATGTGGCGGGCGACACTGTCATATTGTTCAATACAGTCCTTGACGTCTTCATACAGCTTGCTTGAAAAAGCGTCGGAGTGTGATTTGCGACGGGCATGCAAACAATGGTGGGAGTGGACACGGTTTGCTGCTACAGGTTTGTCATTGTTGGCTTAGTCAGCTTCGGATTTTCTGACAGGAGACCAAATTCCGGTGGTTTTCCTGGTAGCAGCAACTGGCTCGGATTTCAGGTGCTTCGTTGTGTATTTCCGAGGTTACTCCTTGTGGTACTCGGTCGTCTAGCGGTTGTTCTGCCAGGCTCGGGTCAGGACTTTGCCTACGGCTCGACAGGGGTATCAGACGCAGAATAGTCCGCCAGCCGTGTCCCATTATCGGGTAACTCGGCTGAAGAGCCGGCGGGTTCACACAGAGTGAAGGGCTACGGGTAAAGTGCCCAGCACCTCCACCTGAACATACGATTACAGCTGAGCATTGCAGTGTCCCAGAATAGTGAATATTGATAGAAGATAGGACTGGAACAAAGATCCGTGACAGTATAACAAAACTAGCAGAAGAGAATCTATCCTGACCACTGAAGAAGCTGCATTGCTTTAGTGGCATTCTGTCCGAATAAATCCTCTCCTTCGGGGTTTGGCGACTGCCGTGGACGAACGGAACTGAAATGGATGTGGGACCACTTTTCTGGTAATGAGCCACTGCAGACCGTTGCCACAAAGCGGCGTGAGCTGGGTACGTAACACGCTCGGTGAAATGTCCGAACAGCTTGCAATTCGCGTAACGAGTATGGATGAAACGTTTGTGTTGACGAAACGTGCGACAGACCAGCTGGATCAATACCAACTGCAACACCTGTGCTCCGTGAAAGTGCTCGTCTACGCCGGAACAATTTCGGAAGCAGCACAGCATCACCTAAAGCATGGCACAGGAACTACCAGCTTGAAGGCAGCTCTTCGGTGCGCCGCACACCTGAGCTCCGTGAAAGTGCACTTCTACGCCGGAACAATTTGTAAGCAGCACGCATCATTCAGCACGGCACGGGAACTACCAGCTTCAAGGCAGCCTTCCGGTGCGCCGCACAACCGAAGTGAGCCCTCGGTCATTTGATCGAAGCTGCACCGCGATTGTACACCGCCAAGCACGACTCACGCAATTTCCGTCGCTAAACTGTGTGTCCAAATACATTGCACACGCTTCACTGCAAACCTCGAAGATTCCGATGGTCAACGAGAGCACAGAAACGTCGCCTTAAATTTTATCCTAGCGGTATCCGAATCAATCCGAGGTCCGAGCAACGTAGGTCAGATTGTCTCTTCCGTGGCAATATCCCGGTCGGTCACCAGCGAAATGCACACCGTTTCTCCGTATTTTCACGTTATACCTACGTCAAACACCACGCTGAACTCTGAACTCGCTTTCGACCGGCCTCATATGACGGCTTCCGCGTCTGAAATTAACTCGCCAAGACGAACGACAACCAACAAAGCATCCGACAAGCTCCGGCCCAGCTGGGGCCAGCCGCTACATGGGCGCTGCCATCTTTCCTGTGACGTCACGTATTTGGTTTGGTCATGTGACGTGTGGTCAAATTTGCGTACAATGGCAGCCTCCTTATGGGGGTCACTTTCGAGTGCAGACCGGAACCCCGGTTTATCGCTCTAAGCCCCTCTACCTCGTTGGGCAGAAGGAGGAGGGAGTGAGCGCGAAGGAAAGGAGGGGGAGGGAGCGAAGAGAAAGTAGGTTCAAAGAGGGGGGGAGGGGGATGGGGAGAGAGGGAAGGGAAGTAAACGAGGAGGGAGAATACAGATATGAGGAAGGTCTGGAGGCAGGTGGGTAAGAAGAAAGGAGGGGAGAGGGAAGGGACGGAAAGAGGGAGAAAGAGAAGAAGGTGGGGATGGAGAGAAGAGTAAGCAGTGTATCGTGATGTGAAGTGTGTAGCTTACCTGACGTCAATTTCGCCACTAAATTTAGCGGGAAAACTGAATTGATGTGTAGGTCACGGGATGTCAAGTTCTTCGCTAAATTGAGCGGGGAAACTGAATAGGTGTGCGTAAAACATAGACCTCGTGATATCAATATTCTGCTAAATTTAGCGGGGAAACCAAATTAGTCTCCAGGCCTCGAGGCGTTAGGTCACGTGATATCAATTTTCCTGACAAATTTAGCGGGGAGGTTAAATCGGTGTTTTAATCAAATGACATCGATTTCCCCGCTAAATCTAGCGCGGATTGTACGGACGGACGGACAGACAAAATGGCATTGGGGGTTCTGTGAAAAAGCATTTCAAGCTTTAATAGAGTTATTTTTATGATGCAAGCAGACGACACAACGAGAACGACGACGACGACAAGAACAAGCAGACGACAACGACGACGTAGCACGCGCGCGCGCGCTTCCGTGGGACCTAAAAGGTGCACATCCACGCATGCGAGGTGAATCGCCGTCTCTCGTGGCGTTCGTCGTGTCTCCTGCAAGAGCGACAGTCGCGTGCCGTAATATATAGATGCTTTACACACGCGCCAAATTACAGCCGCCATTGCTGACCTTCTCTTGTCTTACCGAGATGCCGAGCAACTGAAACGGTAGTTGACGATCCTCTACAAAGGCCGATGCTTTAGAAAAAGGACACAGTTGAATCTAATATGGCAATAACCTGGCCTGCTATGGTAATAATGAAGTGAAGTAAACGGAATAAGAGGAAGCAAAAACTGAAGGTCAGTTATGGCGGCGTCCATGCACAGGTGCTGCAAAGCGTCTATAGAAGCCAAAGTTTGGGACCGTTGCGATGCTCTGCTCCGCAAACGACTCTTGTTTTGCACCCGACGTGTGCGCGTGCTAGCTCGCTTTAGGTATTCTCTATGATACATAACGTCTCATTAGTAAGGAGGTCGGATGTTTTTCTGTTAACAAAATCTCAGGAACGTCGGAAGGCAAGGTTTTTAGGTGCGAGCCATACAATGAATCGCTGCCGGGTGGGCCGTGGTATATACCAGGTACTCACATCGCAACTACTGTGCCTGGAAGGTGTCTACGATTGGCGCGTTTAGAATCCCTTCCAGCCCATGCACCAAATGTAGTCATGATGTGACCAATAAATGGCCTCAAAGGAGCAAGCGTGGCACGCTGCCGTATGTCGCGATCCTGGAGGTTGGTTGCAGAAGTTTTTGGAAAAAATGTTCGAGCGAACGGAAGTGTCGCCGTCGTCATGGCGTAGCAGCTAGCTCCTGGCCGCTTCCGTCGACTGCCAAGTTGGAAAGCGACACGCGGCGGAAGAAGTGTGTGTGTCGTACCCAAGTCCGCTGCCGCAACGCCCCCAGGACTGCGGAGACTCGTTCTATAGCCCCACACCGAAACAAAAGCCCGAACCGAAAATTGCTGAACAGCGATATATTTATGCGGACAGACCAGCCGGAGCAAATCCCCTTTTGAGGTTCCACGATAGACCAAAATCTGAACGGATATTGAAAACAATTAGCCGGTCGAATCAATATATCGTAGCGGTTACACTGGCGCCTGGAACGCCTCTTGAATTGTGTGGTTACCGCGTCCTAAAAGGTGGTCCCCCGGTTTCCACCTAATTACGTCATAAATATGACCTCCGGCTGCCGTCCTGGTGGAGGTCACAGGAGCAGTAATGGATGGGTCAAACGCCTTTTCTGCTCAAGGTCATTCTCCAGCTTGTCTGATTTTTGTCGCTGCCACCCGCCTCGGAGAACGGCACAACGCGCTGGTTCAACAACACGTAGTCATGTATTGACGGTCCTCGCCTCGCACCACCACCCAAAAGGCTCTTGAGAACGCGGCGTGCGACTCTCAGAGGACTTGTCTCGCGTGCACAAAGACCACAGTTCCCACGATGCATGGCGGCAGCGGTAGCGTAATGAAACTCGCTCTGGAGATCGGTCTGCTTTATTGGAACGCGGCAGCACCGAGTCATGGAGTTATTAACAAAAAGCGCTAGAGTTTCAGGAGGCGCTAGTGTGCTGTTACATTCTGAAGCAGACGGCAAGCAGTCCAAATTTGACTTCCGGTAATACATTCCTATGAAAAAACGCAAATGCATTTTCTCTTCACGCTCGATTATAGGTGTAAATATTGCTTAGTAATTTGACAGATTAAAAAGTTTGGAACGTTTTAAAATCGGATGTAAAAAGTATGTGTCAGAGCGTTTTTCTTCAGAATTCATGGTGTCGAACACTGCGCTAAAATAGCCCAATACGCATGTATAATCCGTGTTGACGTTGTAGAGTGCTATTATTGGGCACGTAATTGCGCATATGGCCAAAGCTATGAAGCACGCAGAGTGAATCAGCTTGAGCGAATACTAAAAGGATGTTAATATATGCCAAGTCAAACATTCTAAACAGAAAACAGGAACGAAGCATGGAGTTTTGGAACGAAGAACGTGCACAGCATTTGTAACAAGCTGTGCACGAATAATCATTGAAAGCTTGTATTGACATATCATGCTCTACAACATAGACCTCGACCTCAGTTTTCGCTAACTTAAACATCGCTCAGTAATAAAAAAAAAAATACATTACCTAAATAAATTACGCTTTTATAACATGAAAAAAGCTACATAGTACCCGTTACGAGTAAAAAAACTTCGCTGATTTCTATTATTCCCCGGTGAACAAAAAAATATCACGTGCATTTTCCCATAAGAATACACAGGGAGTCTGGGAAAGTAGAGTGCTTGCTGTGTGGTTCAATTTGCAACCGGAAGTCCCGTAGACACTAGAGAGTTTGAGTAGATCGTGTTTTCAGGCCACGCTATTTGTAGCGGGAGCTCGAGCTGCCACTTCGATGTATGCTCTGGAGCGCGCGCCCGTAGCGGTAGCGGGCCTTTGAAAACGGTCTACTAAAACTCCCAAATAGCGGCAGCTGAGCCCCTAGCGTTTAATAACTTTATGTACCGAGCAGAGCGCTGGCACTAGCTCGCGGACCAGAAGAACCAAACACTCGTAACTACCTCAACCCATTGCGGCAAAGAAGTGTGCTTCTTTTTTTTTTCCCCTGTTTTTCTGTCGCTTTCTCTCGCGCTTTTTCTCTCGGGGAACCGGGAGTGAGCTCATTTAATAAAGCAGAGCGCCGCTGTCTGTCTGAAGTGGAACTCTAAAGAGGTTCGGCTGGCACTGGTGTCTAATCAGTAAGGAAACGAGCGCTACGTCAGCAGTCAACTGCAGCCAGCCTGTCGCCTTTCTTTGCTGAACCTACCGGATATGGTTAGATGCAAGCAGTATAACACCTTTCTGTGTTTGAAATCTGATAGCAATATAATAATATTTAGATAACCTGAAAATGATGGAAGGGCTTGACCGATCGACTACTCGACGTTAAATTGTACGTTCTTTGTCTTTTGTTTCATAGCAGTTAGTGACGGTCGTCATTAGATAGTATTAATAAATCGTTCCAATACCTCCGTGACGATACCCGATGGCCATCTAATGAATGTGCAAAGGCATCGGCGTAGTACCGGGTATCTTTATCGGAGCCATCGAAACGATCGAATAAAACTTCGTATTGCTGCTAAGAACGTCGCTTTGGCGAGCCGTCAGATGGTGAGAGACCTCTCACGTCCCATTGCCACGATATTTCTTCGCACTTCTTTACAGTGCGCACCTGGTCCCGGTGTTTTCCTTTGGCGAGAACGACATCTTTGACCAGGTACACAACCCGCCGGGCTCCAGGCTCCGGAGGATCCAGGAGTTGGTGAAGCGCTGGATCGGCGTTGCCCCGGTCCTCTTCCACGGCCATGGACTGCTACCCTTCCGGGCCCAGATCGTCACCGTTGGTGAGCTGCACCAATCGGTTGTTTTCTACATAAGACGGGAGATGATATGACCTAGGTAAGGGCTTGCCGTAATATCCCGGAAAAACGCCCATCCCCAGAGGCTACCCACTTGCCATTTTCCTCTATCATGTCTCCAACGTAGATGGGCAATTATTCGGGATTTCGCGGTATCCACAAAAAAGCTTTGAAGAATCGGAGGAGAGGAATTATTGGAGAGGAATAAAGAGCCTAGATGGTAAATAGCGTTAATCTCAAACCATGGAGAGCGTTTGAAATGGAACGGCGGACGCCTCTGGCGAGGCTTGGTCGCAAATTCACATGCGCTGTTTTCACGTGGCAATGAGGAAGGCAGGTGGAAAGGCGGATACGCTCGCAGACGACCAACGCCTTCGTCACCTCCTCGCACTTCGTGCTGCAAACGTGGCCCATAAACCACGTGATCCCCATCGAGCATTTGGACACTCTCTGTAATACAGGCCCTGCAGAAAGGAGATCAAACGATCGTGCCTCTAGCGGCTAAGTTGACAACTAAGCCTATGGGGAAAAACATTAAATATTCGTCGTTCTTGCGGCTCAGCTCTCGGTTCGTGTAGCCGAATGGTTATCAAACATATTTCTCGATTTCGAAGTCAGTTGACTTTGATTCGGAACCTCGTAGTTTTAAACATTATAAGACTCTTTTTAATGTTCTTTTTTTTTTCAGTTGGCAAGCCAATTCACGTGGAACGGATGGAGGAACCAACTCTTAAGCAAATTGACGAGTTGCACAGCAAATATAAAGAGGCTCTCGCTAAACTTTTTCACGAAAACAAACATAAATACGGTGCGGAAAATCTACAACTTCAAATAAACTGAAGGAAATATTTGCCTAAAGTTGTTGCCATTTGTTATAGACGCTCTACACACGTGCCAAATTACAGCCGCCATTGCCGACCTCCTCCTGTCTTACCGAGATACCAAGCCACTGAAGAGGGCTTTGGCGGCCCTCCACAAAGGCAAACACTGGGGAGAAGTACACAGTCGAATCTGAAATGGCACTAACCTGCCCTGCTGTGGTAGGGATGGAGGCAAGTGATAAAATAAGAGGAAACAAAAACTGAAGGTCGGTTATGGCGGCGCCCATGTACTGCTGCTGTAGAGCATCTATAGATGCCGCAGATCTGCAAGTTAGTGAAGTGGATCGAAGGTGGTTTGACGGGACAGCATAAACCTGTTTCTGAACGCATCCGAAGAACGTGCATTAAGGGCATAACAATGACCCCACAACGTGCATAAGGGTATAACAATTTCACTGAACAAGCTTACCCGAATATAGCGAACTAATCAAAGGCGTCTGATTGACGCAACAGCAGAGAGATGTCGGCTGTGCTCTCCGCGTCGACAAATGGGGGTCGGCAGGAAAGCCACCAAGTACCGCATTTTTCAGCCTCATCTTCGGTGATGACACCATTGTTGCCGGTGGCTTCTTTGGAGGTATCCCTCACCGAGCGTAGAATAGACCGATTTCACTAAGCGCTCGGTTACCCCCCATTCACAATGGAAGCGGATCCGCGTTCGCGAAGCGATTGCGAACGCGGTTGTATGAAGATCCAGTGCAATTGCACGCGCATTTGATGTCATCCAATGCGCGTGCAATCGTACTGAATCCTTCTACAACGCGTTCGCAACCGCTTTGCGAACGCAGATCCGCTTCCAGCGTGAATGAGCCCTTAAGCGTGTTTCACATGCAGCGATTTTGACCCTAAAGCGGCGCGATTTCTGCCGTCGCGGCGCTCGTGCCGCAGAATTGCTGGTGCTGGCCAGAGCGCCGCGACGGCAGAAATCGCGCCGCTCTAGGGCCAAAACCGCTGCATGTGAACTAGGCTTTAGGGTGCCTACATGTCTGTCTGTCTCAGGATGAAGACATCCATTGTTGCCCTGAATGTGCCAGCGCGTGACGCTCTCGCGCACTCGGTGCGTGACTTGGGCGGTAAGACGGAATCTATGCATTAGCCAAAGCTATGCGCTCGAGCTGAGTGTCACCAGATTGTGCGCGCTTCAAAATGCATAAAAAAAAAACGATTGGGCGGACAAATGGCTGAGATGTCACCACTCAAGCAAAAGCACGCGTGTGTATGAAAGCACTCTACGTTCGGTGCATGCGCGACGCCGCCATAAATTTGGTTCACGGGAGGCAGATGGCCGTGCATGCGGCTAGAGCTCGTGCCGTCTCGTGCTCCACAAGCGCAGAGGTCCAACAAGGTTGTTGCACGTGCAGAAAGGCTGAAGTTCCCTTGATGCATTGCAGTAGCGGTGGTGGAGTCAAACTGGCTGGTGCGATTGGTCTATAGGAAGTATTCACTGGCGGCCATAGCTGTGTGCGCGACTGCTGAGGACGTGCTCATGGCGAGCTTTCCCGGTTCTTTTGCAACGTTGATTCCACACCATCAAGATTGCCGGTCTTAGCAGCCTATAAATATGGGCTCGTTCAGAGCATGCGCTTTAGACATCACCCACAAATATGGCGCGCAGTGAATACTCCTTATTGTAACCGAAACTCCGCCCGCAAAACGTCGGCAGACCTATTTGGCCCGTGTCACTCCCCGTACCAGAAAACAACATTGATTCGCTCGTTGTCGTGCTATGTATACTCCATTAGCCTTTAAATTGAGTCTCCGGTGGAAGCTAAGTCCTCGTTTTACAAGTCATACGCCTCTCTTTCTCAACGTGATCACGCCCTCACCCATACCCACGGGCAGGGTGTTGGGTCGGGGTGACAAAGGGAGGACGGCTGATTGGTCCGGCGGGCACGTAGCTCCTCCCACCGCATCTCAGCTTAGGGCTGAACGGACTATAAATACGGCGCCCGGAGCGCGTCTCCAACTGCAGTTCGGTGCATGGGCGGAATAGGACGCTGAACACCCCATGGGGTGTTCAGCGTCCTATTCCGCCCATGCACCGAACGTGGGTTGAAGTAAAAACACATGGCGTCACAGGAGCCGGAGTGTCATCCTGTCGGATGTCCCGATTCTGGCGGTTGGTCCGGGAAAGGCTGGTGAAAAGCACGAGTGAACGTGAGTGTCGCTATTATCGCGGCGTCCCAACTCCTGGCTGCCAAAGCTTACCTGGACCTTCAAGCTGTAGAGCGACCCGCAGCAGGACAGGCGTCTGTCGCAGCCAACATAGCTGCTTTGACACCGCCAGGGTCGCGGCCGTCGACAGCGGGACACTTCTATGACATAATCAAGCAGAAATCGAAGAACGACGCTTTTTTTTTTTTTTGGGGGGGGGGGGGGGGGGGCTTGGTGAACACACCAGTCGGAGACCCGTTCCAGCCACCGCTTGAAAGTTCAGTTAAGTACCGTTTTGTTTGCCTCGCCTTTCTTGTTCCGTTCTTCGACACTTCTATTTTTGCAGAAGGAACGCACCAACAGGCCCACTTTTCCAAACGGGTATTCGCAACTTTCAGTGATGGTGGCACCGCGGTGTGAAAATCTCGCGCCCTATCTGTTTGATGATCGGCTTCCGAATTACGGTGCTTACTTGCCCCTTCCTGGCTTAGAAAGTATCAGGAACAATTCTTATATCGCTCGTACTTCACAAAATAAAATTACTAAGGCGTCGCAGACCCAACCTCGAGCTGCTGTTCTACAACGATCATCCAGGTGACCGCCACTTTGATAGGAAGAAGCTCGCCTCTACAAACACCCGAAAAATAGCAATGATGAAAGTTGCAGACAAGAAAAGGAACGCAATAACAACTAGACAGTGCCAATCAGACGACGACATGTAGGCGAAAATAACTGTAAAAAATAACGGGAAACTACATATGATTTGTTGTTCTCGTGTGATCTTTATTTTTATGTTTTACTGGTAGAATAAAATAACGAAGCAATAATAATTTGTACAAAAACAAAAAAAAAAGAAATGGTCGGCGCATAGTCGGCGGCAAAAGTTTGCGGGGCGCGGGAGTGTCAGCCGAAATGACTGGCTGCGCCTGCTGACGGCGCGCGGCCGCTCTCAATATTCACGCTTCGAGAATGTGCTTTCTTTCGTGCTCGAAGTCATGTCTTTTTTTGCTCGCTTCCCCCCAACGGGCACGAGATAACCGGGACCGGAGCAAGGTGCCGCTATGACAGCCGTCATGCCGCGCGTTTGCCCCAGCCACCGAAATGGGTGACGGAGCTCGCGCATGCTACAGATAACATTTCGCGGCACCTTACGCCAGTCCCTGTTATCTCGTGGGTGTGGAACGGAAGCACTGAACGGAAGCGGGCGAAAAAGGCATGACCGCGAACAAGAAAGGAAGCGCATGCGCAAAGCGTGAGTCTTAAGAGCGGCAACGCGCCGTGAGAAGGCGCAGCCAGTCTTTTCGGCTGGCGCTCCCGTGCCACGCAAGCTTTCGCTCTCGACTCTACAATACTGCGAAAATTTCCGTAGAGTTACGTGTGCGTGGCACAAGAAATGAGAGAGGGGAGGGGGAATTAACGTTCGTCGAATGGCGCTTGAGAGTCGCGTGAACTGCTCGTGCCGCAGAGGACACGAGCTCGGCCGCTCGGCCTCTGTCCAGAGCGAAGAGCGAAGATTATGGAACCACGGCTGCCGGAGCGGCGTCTATTGCCGTTTCGATCAGAGAGGAACGGGTCGCGTTGAAGCGAGCAAACGAGCAAGCCAGCAGGTGAGAAAAAATACTGCAGAAACAGCTGTTGTTGGTTGTCTACGTATTGCGAAAGCCTTTGTCTAGGACAACCTGAAGGACGACGTCTAAAATGACGTCGAGGACGACATCCTAGAGGACGACATCATCTACGACGACCTCTATAGAGGTCGTCCTAGATGATGAGGTGATCTCAAGGGTGACCTGAAGGACGACGGCTTGATGACGTCTAGACAACGTCTAGAACGACATCTAGGGTGATCTTAAGGACAACCTCTAGGGCCACCTCAAGGACGGCATCAAGGATGACGTCCTAAGAAACGATGTCAAAGATGACGTCTAGAACTACCTCTAAGATTTCCTCAAGGATGACGTCGAGGACGACAACCTATAGGGCAGCGTGAAAGAGGATGTCTAGGAGGACCTTTAGGACGACCTCAAGGACGACGTCCTAGAGGACGGCGTCAAGGACGACGTCTAGGACGACCTCTAGAACGATCTCAAGGGCGACATTTTAGGACGACGTGAAGGTCGTCAGGTCCTTCGAGGAGGGTGCGAATGTGAAGAAGTGTGAGCTGAAATGGTCTACTGCGCACACCTAGTGCGGATTAGGAGGTCCCAAATTTAGGAAATCCGAGGGGTGGTTATACCTAAAGGCGGCTATCACATTAAAAGGACGCGCGTGCGGACTGCGCGGTTCTCGGGAGCAGGCACCGCACGCCGTCAGGGAACGCGGCGATGCAAATCGGTTGGCACTCCGGAGTTACCTGTTTGACGTCACTTCCGTGACCACCTTTTCGTGACATCGATATCCAAACTTTGCACCCCCTTCAAGGCGAAAAAAAAGGCGTAGTGCTGCGTAAAAAAAAAAAAAAAAAAAAAAAAAGCGCATCGTCTTTTATTCAGAAATTTTGTCTCCTATTGCTGAGGTCGATGGAAGCGCCCGTCTCGTCTGCCTGCGATCTTACGTGTCGTCTGTTGAGCCAATCAGACGCCTTGTATTAGGAGACGGACGCAGTAGGTTGGGATTTATAGTTTATGATTTCTAACTGTTTACTTAGGTAACTTAGTTAAGAAAATTGTTCATACTTTTACTGCGCGTTATTCAGCCACCTCTGTACAAAATCATTGCTCAATATGTTCATAAACCGATTTATGCGGTCTCTTCAAGCAGCCATCAATCCCTAATTTGCTTTTTGCTGCATTGCTTTAATTGTTACGGCAGTAACGTAAAAGA